TCTGTCAAATCTCCCGAGGCGACCAACTCTCCCAAGTCCCCCATGTCGCCCAAGTCTCCCACGTCTCCCAAGGTTCGCAAGCCTCCCAAGTCTCCCGAGTCTCCCGAGTGCCCCATGTCTCCCAAGTCTCCCAAAATTTCCAAGACTTCTAAGGCCCCCAAGTCTACCACGTCTCCCAAGTCTCCCACGTTCCCCGAGTCTCCCAAGTCACCCAAACCTCCCACGTCACCGCTACGACCTATGAGGAGGAGGAACGAAGAGGATGGCCGCATATTCAGTCGGATTCAAATCCCACGTTCACTCATACTCACGCACATCGGTGTTTAACCGTCGTCGTCGGACCTGTCGACCACGTGGACGCGCTCTTATAACCAGGCATAACAAAAACGTTTACTATGGCATTCCATAGAACATGAGATGCGCATGTGGGGAGCTCCACGCAGTGAATAATTGTTTGACATGGACGGTGGGGGTGCTGGCATATCATCTGCTGTGTGCAGCCCCACCAGACACCGTGATGGCCACTCCGCCGCGATTGCGCACCCGTTTTCGACAAGGGTGAGCATCGCTGCCACTGCAGCTTGTGGTTGCACATGATTTGCATGAGTCACTGCAGGTGTGCAAGTATGCATGAATGCATCGTTGCGTGAACGTGTTGCGAACCGCAGCCGCCGAGGCTCGAATCTAGAAGTCGCAAGGCACGTCCTAGAGCCAGGCGGGAAACTGGCGCAATCACAACTTGAGAGCTCTTTGGTATCATCGTTTCGACAAGGATGATGGGGGCCGATACGTTTCCCGACGTGTACCACGTGCGCGAGGTGCACCTGAGGGGAACCCTGGGGCACCCTGAACGCAGCAGCTTATTTGACGGCCGCGGGAAGTCACCGCGCAGCGCGCGGAGCGAAGAAACCCAGGGTACCCTGAAGAACAGCACATGGTTTCTTGCTGCGCGCCCCCACTGTATGATGGTCACCCCGCCACGATTGCGCACTCGTTTTCGACACGGGCGGCGGGGGCCGACACGTTTCTTGACGTGCACCGCCGCGTGCGCAGGCGCACCGTGGCACACTCTGCGTGTGCCCCAGACGTGGCGCACCGCGGCGCACCGTGGTGCGTCTGGAGGGTGCGGCACATGTGGCGCACGTGGATCACCAGGCGCATTTGGCGCAACAGGCGCGCCTGGCATACTTAGGCCACAGGGGTGCCTGGCGCACCTGGCGCGCGTGGCTTCCGGCCAAAACGGTGGGGGTCGGCATGCTTCATGATGTGTGCTGTTACGCGCGCGGGCGCATCTGGCGCAGTTTGCGCGTGCCCCAGACGTGGCGCACCTGGCGCGGCTGGACCATGCGACAGGCGTGGCGCATTTGGAGCACGTGGCGCATCTGGCGCGACAGGCCTGCCTGGCGCGCTTGGGCCCCAGGGGTGCCTGGCGCACCTGACGCGCCTGGCAAACGTGGCGCACCTCGCCCCAACGGTGCGCACATGGTATATGTGCTGGTTCCCATTTGCTGCCCATCCAAAGACGACCGCTTAACATTCTGAGGCCCAAGTGCTACTGAAAGCTTTTTTTGTCCCAGAAATATGTATATGTATATATATATATATATATATATATATATATATATGTATCGCAATCCTCCTTCAAACGTGCTCAACAATCCTCTGTCGTACAGGGTCGCCCAGGGGACATCATTCACTGAGAAAAAGAAGCAACATTATCCAGCCCGCCCGACAATAATGGGAAATTAATCCCATGTCGCCGCGCGCGCCGAAAGGTTTTAGGACCAGTCTCTTCTACAGCCGAGATAATGGGGGTATTTAAAGTGTTGGGACGGCGGGTCGGAGTGAGCTAGACGGCCTGTTATCTAGGAGGGTAGCTTCACCCCTCCACAAGCACACAATATGAAGACTACTCTCCTCTCTCCCCCGATGGCGTCCAGGAAATGTCCGGCCCCCCTCCGAGCACTGCATCTTTCCCACACATGACTCCCAGCGACTTGGGTTTTGGCTTGATGAGTTTCACAATGCTGCTCCCGCTGAAGCGCTGGCCTCATTTTCGGGCTTCCGCTCGTTCCGAATCGTGCTCCCGCTGCAGCGCTGGCCTCATTTCCACGATTCCGCTCGTTCCGAATCGTGCTCCCGCTGCAGCGCTGGCTCATTCTGCGCTTTCGCTCGTTCCGAGTCGTGCTCCCGCTGCAGCGCTGACGTCATCATTTCCAGTGCAGTGCCATGCCACGGCATGCAATGCAATGCTATATGGTGTTCCGCTGTGCGGTCCCAAAATCTAGAAAATGCCCCCCGAAAAACCATCGAAATTAATTCCGCATTCGGTGTCGATTCATTGGTTTTCTGGGCCGCAGTAGCCCCCCCCCCCCTTGGGACGCCGTCGTTTTCGGGAAGAATCAAGCGGGAGCCGCGTTTCTGCTTTGAGAAGGCGATGTTGAAAGCATAGCCAGCGGGTGCTCTCCATCAGCCCTGCCTTGTGTGGAGCGTTTCGGGGAGCCCAAGAAGCTAGACATGGAGCCACGACTCCAGACCGGCCCAGACCTCTCGAAGACGATACACTCACCCTCCAGGGAACCCAGTGCAATGCCATGATATGCTGTGCAATGTTATGCTCTGTGCCGTTGTGCGATGCCATTGTTTGGGTTGCAACGCTTTGTGATGCAATTCTTCAATACGCAACGCCACGCAATGCTACGGCATGCTACGCTCTGCCGTGTTCCTCTACGCCCTGCTATGCCGTGCTCTACGATGCATCGCGCACCCTCTCGCGATCACTGCCCTGCTCGACATCCGACTGTGCGAAGAGAGGAGATCTACGCCATGGCCGTCAAGAGGCCCCCAAGATGCCCCAACAGGCCTACAAGAAGCTCACTAAAGACATCCAAAGAAACTCCGAGAAGCATCATCCAAGGGGCCTCTGGCCGTTCTGTTCGCCCCGCTCCTCTTCCTCCTCCTCCTCCTTTTCCTCTTCCTCCTGCTCCTCTTTCCTCCCTCGTCCCTCCTCCCTCCACAATGACACAACATGAATACCACTCTCCTCTCTCCCCTGACTCTATCTGGAGAGTGTCCCGTCCTCCCCGCGTATTGTCCTTTACACACAGGATTCCATCAGATTGGTTTTGACCTGTGTGTTTTCTCAATCTGGTCGTCTTTAGTTCTTCCAAAACGGTACTCCCGCTGCACCGCCACCCTCATGTCTGCGCTTCGGTCGTTCAGAATCGTGCTCCCGCTGCAGCGCTGGCCTCGTTCCCGCGCCTCTGGACGGCACTTGGCATTCGAAAGCGCCCACATCGAGCAAGCACGATTGCGGACGACATGGAGCCGGCATTCCGGACAGGCCCGGTTCTTACCCTCCAAGTCATCCAGTGCCATGTCACGGCATGCAATGTGATAATGAGTTGTGCACCGCTGTGCGATGCTATGCTTTGCGTTGCTATGCTTCGTGATGCAATGCTTCCCTACGCAATGCCATGCCATGCTATGACACGCTATGCTCTGCCGTGCTCTGCTGCGCCATGCTTTTCCATCCATCGCGTACCCTCTTGGGATCATTGCCCTGCTCGACATCCGACTGTGCGAATAGATCGTATATCTACGCCATGGTAAGATATTGGAGGGAGGGGTAGGACGTCAGATGTGGCGCTAGCGCGCCTAGCTTATCCCCCTCTCCCTCCTCCTCCTCCTCCTCCTCCTCCTCCTCTTCTGGTTCCTGCTCCATCCTCCCCCTCTTGCGGTATGACTGCTTCGCTTAGGCATCGTTTCTGGATGGGCTGGAAGGTTACGCAAAGCTTCCTTTTTTTTTGTTTGGCGCATCGCGGCGGCCCCGGCGGCACGCTACGTATGACCTGCAAGCCAATGCCATGTCGCTCAGTCCCACGGGGCGGGAGGCCGGGAAAAGCTCGGGAGGTTGACGCGTGGGAATGGAGAAATGGTTAGCGTATCGCGCCGAAGCGTGGTTGGCCAGAACCGGCTGCGCGACACGCTGACCGAAAGTTCCTGGCCGTAGGTGGGGGCAGACCCATGCACAAGTCGCGGTCAATCCCTTCGGAACTCACACTGGTGAACATACAATCTCTGAAGACAAATCATCCGCCACCTCCTCTTCCTCCTCCTCATCCTCGCTCTTCCTCGCTCCTCCCCGCTCCCTCCTTCCTCCTCCCATCCCTCATCCACTTTCACCCCCCTCGCTCCTCCCAGCTCCCTTCTCGGCCCTCCGCCCGCCTCCCTCTTTTGCCCTCCCTCCTCGAGTCCTCTGTCCTCTGTCTTCCCTTCTCCCTTCGTCATTCCTCCTCCTCCCCCTCCTCCTCCTCCTCCTCCTCTCCTCCTCCTCCTACTCCTCTACTCCTCAAGCTGATCCTCTGTCCGCTCCTAGAACCCCCTGTTTCCTTCCTCTATCCCTCCTCCCCACTACTCCTCCGCCTCCCCTCCACCTCCTCCTCATCCTCCTCCTCCTCCTCCTCTTCATCCTCCTCCTCCTCCTCCGCCTACGCCTCCTACTCCTCTAAGCTATCCTCTCCGCTCCTAGAACCCCCGCTCCTTCTCTATACCCTCCCCCCCCTCCTCCTCACCTCCCTCATCCTTCTCCTCTCCTCCTTTTTCCTCCTCCTCCTCCTCACTACTCCTCCTTCTCCTCTTCCTCCTCCTCCTCCTCCTCCTCCCTCCTCCCTCAGCCCCCTCGCTCGTCGCTCCATTACCTCCCTCCTTTATCCTGCACGTCCTCCCCCGTCCTCCTCCCCTTCCTTCCTTCCTTCCTCACTTGCCTCCTCGCCTCTTCACTGTCTTTTTCCTCCTCCTCCTCCTCCTCCTCCTCCTCGTTCTCCTCCTCGTTCTCCTCCTCGTTCTCCGCCTCCGCCTCCGCCTTCGCCTCCGCCTCCGCCTCCGCCTCCTCCTCCTCCTCCGCCTCCTCCTCCTCCGCCTCCTCCTCCTCCTCCTCCTCCTCCTCCTCCTCAGAGGGCGCCGAGGGCCGCCGAGGGCCCGCCGAGAGTTGGCGGCTCCTGCACCTCGCCGCGCACGCGCCGGAGCTCGAGCTCCTGGGGGCTGGGCGCGCGGGCGCCTCTGGGGCCCAAGGACTGGAATGCATGAACTTGTCGGAGGCGTGGGTCCCCTTCTTCTCTCTTCCTTCTTCGTCGTCCTCCTCCCTCCTCCCTCCCTCTCCTCCCTTCCTCCCTCCTCCTCTCCTCCTCCTCTCCTTCCTTCCTCCTACTCCTCCTCCTCCTCCCTCCTCCTCCTCCTCCTCCTCCTCCCTCCTCCTCCTCCTCCTCCTCCCTCCTCCCCTCCTCCTCTCCTCCTCCTCCTCCGCCCTCCTCTCCCTCCTCTCCTCCTCCTCTCCTCTCCTCCCCTCCTCCTCTCCTCCTCCTCTCCTCCTCAGTCTCCTCCTCCTCCTCCTCCTCTCCTCCTCCGCCTCCTCCTCCTCCTCCTCCCCCTCCTCCTACTCCTCCTCCTCTACTCACTCCTCCTCTCCTCTCCTCCTCCTCCTCCCCCTCCCCCTCCTGCCTCCTCCTCCTCCTCCTCCCTCTCCTCCCCTCCTCCTCCTCCTCTCCTCCTCTCCTCCCTCCTCCTCTTCCTCCTCCTCCTCCTCCTCCCTTCCTCCTCCTCCTCCTCCTCCTCCTCCTCCTCCTCCTCCTCCTCCTCCACAACTTTGCTGGTTGGGCCCGGGGCCTGGCGCCTTTCGTGGACGGGAAACATAGCCACATTCACAACCTCGCGGTCCGGACTCCTGGGGCCCTTCCGAGGGCCCGAGGGCATGTAGAGGGTACGCGAGAAGGTCTGTCCGGCAGAGGCGCTCCGCATGGGCGCTCGAGCTGCCGGAGGCGCTCGGCAAGCCAAGTGTCCGGCCGCAGGAGGGGTCGCGCGGAGAGGCGGAGCGGCCGCGGAGGACAACCGAGAACGCTGCAGGATGCGCGCGCCGGGGCGGCGAACCGGGAAGCCAGCGAAAGGACACCGGACCCTGCCGAGGGCCACTTTGCCACAGGAATGTGGAAGGCATGGGTCGCGAACACACAGGACACAAGGGAGCCCCTGGCTTGGTAGGGTCGACCTGCTGATCAGCCTCGACTGCAGGCTACACTCAGGGGTGGCCCCAGGCAAGGGCGACTGACCTCTCCAGTAGGAGATCGGCTACAGAGTTCATTTGCCCCTGAATAATATTGTAGCATATTCAAATCGGACGCACAGATACATACTTGTACTGTATACTCTCCTTCGAGGCGTGCGTCCGACCCGAAGATATTGTATATCCATCTTATAGTGTATCGTTTCCCCAGCGGTGTGGCCAGAAAGCGCCCGCCACGACGCATAGACTATAAGATTTCTCGGTGCACGCGTCGCCCCAGGGGGGGCGACGCACACATAGTACTAGTACTAGAACCACGCGCGCGCTTCGCGCGCGCTTAGGTTCTGTCGAGTCACAGACCCAGGAATCGTTGCGAGAAGAAATTGGTGACGCGAAGCGTCTTGGGGGCGTCCTTGGACGTCTGGGGTCTCCTGGGGCCTCTTGAGGGGCCTCCTTGGGGCCTCCTGGCGGCCTCTTGGGGCGGAAGGCTCGAGCATGCGGTTCGTGGTCCCCCTCTGGGCCCCCTCTTGGGCCCGTCTTGGGGCCCTCTTGGGCCATCTTGGGCGCCTCTTGGGCCGTCTTGGGGCCCTCTTGGGCTGTCCTGGGGCCCTCTTGGAAGTTTTTTGGGCCGTCTTGGGGCGGTCTTGGGCGCCTCTTGGGCCGTCCTGTAACGTCGGAAAGCCCAAAAGGCGACTTTGTTGAAAATGTACGTTTTACGAAAGGAATGGGCCAATTTTTGCGTCTAGGGGCCCTCTTGGGACGCATGTTGGAGGCTTCTTGGGGCGTCTTGGGGGCGTCCTTGGACGTCTGGGGTCTCCTGGGGCCTCTTGAGGGGCCTCCTGGGGGCCTCCTGGCGGCCTCTTGGGGCGGAAGGCTCGAGCTTGCGGTTCGTGGTCCCCCTCTGGGCCCCCTCTTGGGCCCGTCTTGGGGCCCTCTTGGGCCATCTTGGGCGCCTCTTGGGCCGTCTTGGGGCCCTCTTGGGCTGTCCTGGGGCCCTCTTGGAAGCTTCTTGGGCCGTCTTGGGGCGGTCTTGGGCGCCTCTTGGGCCGTCCTGTAACGTCGGAAAGCCCAAAAGACAACTTTGTTGAAAATGTACGTTTTACGAAGGGAATGGGCCAATTTTTGCGTCTAGGGGCCCTCTTGGGACGCATGTTGGAGGCTTCTTGGGGCCTCTTGGGGGCGTCCTTGGACGTCTGGGGTCTCCTGTGGCCTCTTGAGGGGCCTCCTGGGGGCCTCCTGGCGGCCTCTTGGGGCGGAAGGCTCGAGCTTGCGGTTCGTGGTCCCCCTCTGGGCCCCCTCTTGGGCCCGTCTTGGGGCCCTCTTGGGCCATCTTGGGCGCCTCTTGGGCCGTCTTGGGGCCCTCTTGGGCTGTCCTGGGGCCCTCTGGGAAGCTTCTTGGGCCGTCTTGGGGCGGTCTTGGGCGCCTCTTGGGCCGTCCTGTAACGTCGGAAAGCCCAAAAGAAACTTTGTTGAAAATGTACGTTTTACGAACGGAATGGGCCAATTTTTGCGTCTAGGGGCCCTCTTGGGACGCATGTTGGAGGCTTCTTGGGGCCTCTTGGGGGCGTCCTTGGACGTCTGGAGGCCATCTTCAGCATCTCGGAGCCCTCTTGGAGGCCTCTTGGAAGTTTCTTGGGCCGTCTTGGGCGCTTCTTGGGCCGTCTTGTCTGACTGGGGAGGCCTCCGGCAAGCCCCGACGAGCCTCCGGGCCCCCCGGGGCGCACATTTGTGGTCGGGGTCCCGGCCCCGGGCCCCCGGACCCGGTGCGCCGTTATATGTGTATGTTGGGGTGACGCCGATCGAAGGGAAAGCAGTTCTGGGATGAATCAATTATGTAGTCGATCTCCTACTCGAACCTCTGGCGCGGATCCTCTAGGGCCTCCCGATCGCGGACTGCGATACGGCAGCAGCGGCTGGCACCCCTGGGTTTGACACCCCCGCGCCCCCCTGACTGGTGGTCTGAGAAGGTTCGGAAGGCCTCCGGCCTTCTGAAAAGCTTCCTGAGCCTTCTCCGCAGGCGCAGAACATTTATCCGGAGGCGCGAAGGCTTCTGAGAAGCCCCGCCGCCTTCTGAGAAGGCCCGCCCCCTCCCATTTTCCCCCTGGGCGCGCCGCCAACCGAACCCGCCGCGCACCAAAAGCCACCCTTGTAGGGCGACGATATCTATACATATCCACTGCTCCCGGCCAGGCCAATCCTGGGCCCAAGAGCTGTGTATACGCCCTCCTGGGTTGGCCAGGGAGGCATATACACCGCTCCTGGGCCCAGGATGGGCCTGGCCAGGAGCAGTGGATATGCATAGATCTCGTCGCCCTACCTTGCCGCGCACGCGCTGGAGCTCGAGCTCCCGGGGGGGCCAGCGTGCCAGCCGGGCCCCTTTCTCTGGACTCGCCGCACGCAGGAGCGGCCCGGGGCAGTGGTGACCTTTCGAGCCTCGTCGAGGCGGTCCCCATCCCCACTGGCGTGGCCTGGGCCCTGCTGGCTGATCTGCCCCTGCCCCGTAGATGGGGACGTGGACTCGCCCCTTCGGGTCTCGAGGGGCCGATCCCCAACTGGGGAGGAGGGGCGGTGGGGCTGAGATACCATGGCCCGGTGGAGAGAGGGAGGGGGAGGAGGGCACCGAGAAGGAGTGGGAGGCAAAGGTGTAGCCGACCCGAGCAGGAGGAGGAGGAGGAGGAGGAGAAGGAAAAAGAGGAGGAGGAGGAGAAGGAGGAGGAGGAGGAGGAGGAGGAAGAGGAAGATACAGAGTAGAAGGAAGAGACGGAGGAGAAGGAGGAGGAAAAGGAAGAGGAATAAGAGCAATCTACGTTCATGAAGGATGATTATGATGATGCTGATGCTGATGCTGATGCTGATGCTGATGCTGATGCTGATGCTGCTGCTGATGATGATGATGCTGATGATGATGATGCTGATGCTGATGCTGATGCTGATGCTGCTGCTGCTGCTGATGATGATGATGATGATGCTGATGCTGCTGCTGCTGCTGCTGCTGATGATGATGATGATGATGATGATGATGATGATGCTGGTGATGCTGATGATACCAGTTAATGATCATGGCCAGGAGGGTGAAGAGGAGGAAGCGCAGGAAAAGTGCACGCATGCGAGGGGGATGCGGGTCCTGGTCATTCGGCGAACCGGCGGGCGCGGCCCGCTCACGGCCGCCGGAAACGAAGCCGACCGTTGGCCGAAAGTGCCGGCCACGGTCTGGACTGTCAGCCGAACGCGGGGCAGTTCGCGCCGAGGCGGCCCTGATTGTGGACTGTACGCCGAGTTCTGGGCAGTTCGCGACGGACGCGCGGTCTGCATGAGGCAGTCGCGTCCGCCGAGGGGGCCGAGGATGCGGAGAAGAAGAATGTGTGGAGAAGGAAGACGAGGAGGACGATAATGGGGAGGAGGGGCATGAGGAAGAGAGGGATGAGGAGGAGGAGGAGGAGGAGGAGGAGGAGGAGGAGGAGGAGGAGGAGGAGGAAGAGGAGGAGGATGCGAGGAGGAAGGAGGAGGACGCGAAGAGGAAGGAGGAGGAGGAGGAGGAGGAGGAGGAGGAGAGGAGGAGGAGGAGGAGAAGGAAATGGGGGGGGGTGGAAGGGAAGAGGAGAAGGAGGAGGAAGAGGAGGAGGAGGAGGAGGAGGAGGCGGAGGAGGAGGAGGGGGCAGAGGAGGAGGAGGAGATGAGGAGGAGGAGGAGGAGGAGGAGGAGGAGGAGGAGGAGAATGAGGAGGTGACGAGGAGGAGGAGGAGGAGGAGGAGGAGGAGGAGGAGGAGGAGGAGGGAGGAGGAGGAGGAGGAGGGAGGAGGAGAAGAAGGATAATAAGGAAAAAAGAGGAGGAGGAAGTGGAGGAGGAGGAGAGGTGGAGGAGGAGGAGGAGGAGGAGGAGGAGGAGGAGAGGAGGAGAACGGACGATGGGGAAAAGGAGGGAGGGAACAAGGAGGAGGAGGAGGAGGAAGAGGAGAGAGGGGAATGAGGAGGATTGTA